GATGGAGCGAGCCCACGCAAAACAAGCAACAGACCAGCCAATGGAACGCAAGCGGGCCATCACACCACAATCATAACCATAACCGTGGTCTAAGCGAGGACCACTGCACCACAATGCACCACAGTGCCGCCCCCGTCGCCCCCCTGCAAAACCCTTAACCCCTTTCGACCCGTCGGACAAAGCCCATTGGCAATTTTTGGTCGAAGCGTCAAAGCAGAAAAAACATCGACGGACAGAATAAAAGTTTTGTAGGCGCGTGCATAGAAGGATTGGCAGGGATGTGGAAATTCGGGCAAGAGGACCCATCTCCCCAACCTTTTCAACCCCCCTGCATTTGACTTTTTTCTATAGGCCTCATCGCCTGGATGGCGCAAAATATTTCGATCAGGCGTAAAATGTGCGCAAAATTCAAACAGTATTTTCAGCTGCCCTTTTTTTTCGTTGTAGCCCACTTTCCTCCTGCCAAGTTACCCTATTTTTTGTGTGCTTGTGTGTGCCTGTATTTTATTATTTATTATGACCACACACACACACGCTTGCATGTATCGTTGCAGTTTAGTGTTGTAGTTGTCGCGGCCAAAAAAATATAAACAAAATGCGTTGCGCCCCCCCCCGGTTTCACCTCTCCACTTTCAGAGAAAATGCGAAAAAAACACTAAAAATAAATTCGAATACAATTTTTGTTATATACAAAATCGAGCCTGTGTGCGTGCGTGGGAGTCTGTGTGTGAGTGTGGGTTGCATTTTAGTTTCATGCTCTTTTAGAGGTTTTGTAAAGGGATGCGATCTACATTTGAAGGGACAGGCTTACAGCGTGACTGCATCGAAACAATAAAGTTTTCTTTAATCAAGTTATTTTGATCTAGAATTTAAGTAGGCAAAAATTAAATTTAATTTTTATAGAAATGAATATAAAATATTAAAAGATTAAAACTTAACCAACAAATATTATGTTGTTTAAGATTTGAAACTTTTACCTTTAAAATTTTATTTAAAATTGTATTGAACGTTATTCAATCTAATCCCCAAAGTATACGAATTTTAGCCAAATTCTAGAAGTCTTTTCAATCTTCGATCCCTGTCAATATGTTAGAGATCTATATGGAATAATATTTCCCATTACAGCAATATTCTTTTCCTCAAGTACGTCCTAACATTCGGGTTTCATCTAACTGTAACATTGCATTCCAGGCCAAAGCCATCTCTCTGAAATCCTTTTTCCAGGGGGCTTAAGTGGCAGATTTTTAATTGAATTGGCTGCAGTTGCTGCTGCACTGGCTCTCACTCCAAAACTTGACAACAAAACCCCCCACCGGTTTCAGATTTTTTTAGCATATTACCAACCGTTTGTTTTTTGCATTAGTTTTTTGTCAGCCGCAGCCGGAACTGGGGGAAAAAGAAGCGAACAAACAAATCATTTGACATTTTATACATATTCCATTATACTATATATCCGCGGATGCATATATGCATGCACATATAGGAACTCTAGACGCCCTACCACGCCCCCTCAATAGAAAAATAGAGGCGACTGCGCATTTCACATTTTACGCTGGTTTTATTTTTTATGCAGAACTGCGCATTTTTGCAATTTATATAAATATTTTATATATTATTTATTTTACACATAACATATTTTTTTAGCTGATTCGAATTTTTTGCCATTTGGCGCTTTCATTTTGTGCGCTATATAAATATTTCATTAATTCGACTTTTTTCTATTTTCGGTTCTCCATTTTTTTCCCGTACGATTTTATTATTATTTTATGCATTTTTGATGAAATAGTTTTTGGATTTTGTGCAACTAATTTTATGGCAATTTTTTCATTCATATTTTTTATTCATCGGGACAGAGTGAGGGGGATCCGTGAACAGAGGTAAAATCGCTTGAATTTATGCGGCAGCCAGTAGCTGGCAGTTTTAAAAGATTTACGGCATTTACGAAGCGATTCTGGTCATGGGTTTATTATTTCATAAATGCGTTTTGATTTGTCTGCCGTCCCCTTCCGCAGAAAAACAATTAAAGGTAGAATAAAAGGGGGACTTCATCAATTACCTTTTCGTTCTATTCAGTTATCATTTTGCTCGACCAATTTTCATCAAATTTATTGTCATTTCATATAATTCAAGGCAAACTTAATTTATTTTATATTTTGGTACACTAATAGACAAATAACAAGAAGTGACCAGAACAATCTAATTTATTTGATAAATATGGAACAATTTTTTTACTGATGTTTTTTGTCAATATATCTGGAATTATTTTCCAAATCATTTCTTTATTGAATTAAATTATGTTAATTTTTAGGATAACATTTCTATTTCGTTTAATTAGTATGCTTAATAAACCATTTAAAGCTTAAACTATTGCCATGGATTTTTAAGGCCTGTCCAAAAGTTGTGATTGATTGATTTTCTTACAAGTTTAGTGGCAGGAGTACGAGGAATCCAAGTAATTCATTAACTAAGTTATGAGCCACAAGCCCACTAGACTATCGATGAGATAAACACATAGACGTGAATGTTAATGAGCATGCCAACAAACAATGAGACAATGGAGAATAATCATATTTAACCTATTTACCCAGACAGCGTCTTCTCCACCAGCAAGTGAGCGAGCTTTAATTATGCATAATCTAAATGCTCGCTTCACGTTAACACTTTGACTTTCCAAAATCATTAGCAGGCAGGATATATACATTTCACAAGCTAGAAACAAGACATAAAGTGGCGAGCTACCAATCTGAATTATTTTATTAAAAGTGACTGAAACATAAAACGAGGGCTAATTGCAACGATATTATTAATTTATCTTCAGGATGTCCTTCGTTTAATTTCTTTAAGAATTATACATTTTTATTTTGTTTGGCAATTATAGATTATTTTTTTATTAAACCGTTCATGCATCTGTTGTACTAAAGATATGTTGCTTTGAACCTGTTAAATGAAGCGAGTCGCAACCATTACAATTTCCGCAATAACCATAATAATCATTAGTAATGGCCATGAAGGGCCAAGATTCTGTGGGTAGGTCGTGGTCAAATATTCTACCCACTACCGATTGCAACAGACATTCCTGTGAGTTGGGGTTTTGCTGATTTAGGCCCTCATTTTGAAAGAACGCGGTTTGCTTGTGATTTCACACTTCCAGTAAAAGTCTGTCTCTTGATCGTCCAAAAAGTTTTATTTGCAGCAACAAGTTTTAAAGATAAACTTTTTGCTTTTATTGTGTAGCCAACATTTTTGGATTTTTTTTGACTTGTTTCATAATTTCTTAGTAAGAATTTAAAAACATATAAGTAAGTTATAAAAATAAGTTGCAGCATCATTTTTTAGTGAAAAGTTTCTAAGCTTCAGTAATCCTATTTATTAAGATTTCCTGACAGTTTTATTTTCGGGAACATCTGCATAAATTTGACAAATAAATATATCTATCAGTTAAATCTAGTTCAGAACCCCTGTTCATTTTTTTTCCGATCCCGATTCTGATAATTTCTAATTTCCTTTGAGGTCTTTCATGAATCAAACAAGCACTTCACTTGAAATCAAAACCACAATAGTGGTTCCCACCCCCATGACCTTTCCATTGTCTTCGTTTTTCCCTCCTTCGGTGACTGCCCAAGTTGTGTGATCGTCCCATGGAAACCCTCGAAAAGGCATTGAAATAGCGACGGCAATGCCATCGGACGACGCTGTCGACGGATCGCTTTTCCTGTTCGAAAAAACCCCCCTCCCCATCCTACCCAGCACTCCCAAAACCCCGCAAGGTGGCCATCGCTCTTGACCCTTTTTGCACTCAACCCACGAAAACGAAAAACAGTCCCCCGCCGCTTTTTTCTCCTTTATTCTTTTCGAAAACTTTACGCTGCCCATGGCCACCCTGAACCACCCATTCCACCTCCTTTACCGTTCTGGCAGACAAGCGACAACAACGTTGTCCACTTTCGCAACACCCCAACTCCCCCTAGAGCGAGATGGCAAACGAGCGACAGAGAAAGAACAAGAGAGAGAGAGAGAGAGAGGGGAGACCATTTCGGAATTCATGCTGTCCATGCCAACAGCAACAACGTAGCCGGCTCATATATTTTTCTCATTTATTTTTCCCGGACCCACTCCCAATATTTTTTGTGCGTTTTTCATATCCGAAACGCCGACAACCACCCCTCAACCCCCTCCACCCATCATCCGAACCCACACCGAAACCCAAACCCAAAACCCACAGCCATCACCTACCCCATTCCATCTGGCTTTCCCTTTCCCACCCCTGGCGGCGATCCAGCCGGCCTTTTTTTTTGCGCCATGCCGGCGAAAGACAACAAAAGCAACAGCCACCACCCCCGCCCCCGCCCAGCCGCTTACACTTGGCGAAAAAAAAAGGGAAAAACAAAAATAATTGCCGCCTCACTCTGTCGTGTGCTCCCTCGTCCTCGCCCACTTTCGAGCACCCATCCCATTCACAAAACCGTCGGCACTCAGCTGTTTGTCAACTCATCTGCCGCGCCGCCATCCGGCTGATTCCGCCCACCGCCCAGCGACCCCACCCGCCCACTCACTCTCTCTCTCTCTCGGGCTGACCCACCACCCTCAAAGCCCCCTTCCCCCGTTACGACCGTGGACAGCGTGGTTCGTTGACGTCGAGCGTCGCGTTATCGGCGTTTCTCTGTTTTTGTACTCATATCCCTCTGCTCTCTCAGGGGGTGGGAGAGGGGGTTTAAGGGGGTAAGAGGGTGTACTAGTAGGGTGGAGAGGGGGGGCAGGGAGACCAGGAGTTCACAGAGTGTTGCACACTTTTCGGCGTTTCGCCTGCACACGCACTTTCCGCTTTTGGCGGCGTCCCACATTCAATAATCGTACTTGCTGCGCAGGCGCTGCCACCTAAGGTCCTCTCACTCTCGCCTCTCTCGCGCTGCCGACGTCGACGCAGGATGGCAGGCAGGCTGGCAGGCGACTCGGCTCAAAACCCACTTGGCCATCTCTGTTTTGGTCAGTCAGCAGTTGGCTTTCGTCGTGTTTGGTTCGCCCCTGGAGGAAGCGCTCTGAGCCCTGAATCAAAACCAAAACAAACCAAATCGAAAATTACCCAAAATAAAAAAAAACACATTGAAATTGAATATATTGAGTTTGACAAGTGGCACTGCCTAAACATACCACCCTCGAAAATTTTGCTTTGAAAGTGTGCCAAAACGCGTTCGCAAACTGGGTTATTAAAACTCAAAACTGTGCAAACCAGTGAACTGTGCTGCTGCTTACCAATTGAAAAACCCGCCAAAAAATTCTGACAAGTGCCAAAACGTTGCAGCGAACCCAAATCCGCACAAGTGTTACAAGTGTGTTAAGTGCTAAAGAAACCAGCCAGTCGAGTTGCATCCTAAGCTGCAACTTTGATATCGTCGCATTTTGGCAGCGCCTGCTTCAATTCAATTGTCTGGTCTTCGGGCGAACACCTCACTCCACGCAGGCCATCAAAAAAACTGCCAAAATTCCGAAGAATCCGAGGAAAACACCAAAAACATCGACACGTACCGCATCGGCAACCGGTGGCGGTGGGGGAGGTGCTGGCGGAGGCGCCACCACCAGCACGAAAATGGCATCTAAAAGAAAAGCCTCGGTGTTGCTGCACAAGGTGAGTCTGGATTTTCTTGAAGGACGTTAAATAGAACACGGGAAGTCCTTTCTGTTACCATTTTTAACCAACATTGTGGGGCAGCCACGAACGGCGATTGAACTCTTTCGTTTTGAGTGGAGGAAATATAACTAATTAACCTGAAATTGTTTCCTGCAGGATGTCTTTATGACAGTCAACCTTTTTAGCTGATATAATAGTGCCACAACAATCTAATTAGCACAACAACTTTTAATTAAAAATAACACCCACTTTAAGTAATTTCAGTTTATAAAAATTAAAAAAAATCTATTTACCCAGTATGATTTGCCTTTAAAGTAAAGTAAAAAAGAAACCAGATTGTTAAAAATAAATTTAAATGAATAAAAAACAAAATAGAATAATTTTCAGCACTCTAAAACTTTTATTTTTATTGGAATAAACCTTAATATGTCATATTCTTTGTTAAAATATGGTTTAAGCCTAAATTGTTTTTCTTTTTTAAAAATAAACCTTATATTGAAATTCAGCAATCGCAAATATTATACAACATTTTTGTATAATAAAAGTCGTGGTTGGATTGATAAAAAAGTAATGTCAAAAATAATTGGATAATTGCAGACTACATGAAGCAATTTTGGCATTGCTACATTATCAAGTATCAGCTATTCAAAGGGTTTCACCTCAATCATTGATATAGCTCCTTCAATTCATGTCACATAGCTTCAAAGGCTCACCTTCCCTCTAGCCATCTAATGTAGACATTCTCAGACCAGCATGAAACCTTTTTCTTTTTCCTCGCTTTCAGCAAGTAGTCCAATATGAAATCAATTTGCCCCAACCCACATATTCCCATCCTGAGACTCACCGCAGACCAGACACATTTACCCAGCCACAAAATAAACAGTTCGAAAAAATATACACGAAGCGTGGGAGGAGCGGCAAAGGGAACGGAAGAAACGTAGACAGTTGCAAAAATATTGCTAATACGCCGCGTAGGCAGCAATCGCAAAAGAAAAACCTGCTCATAATGCCTTTTTGGATAAAAAGGCGCCTAGATGTTTTGGGGGTGGAGGAGGGGGCCATGCCATTGAAGAGGGGCTGGAGGCCCTCTAATGATATACGACGGTGTCCCAGTGTTAGACTCCTCTCACATACTTGTATGCTCCTTGGTACATTACATAGAAACGCGAATAGCGACGGGGGAACGAAGACGACAGAGGGGTGCCAAGTGTGCGTGTGTGTGTCTGTCAGGGGAGGGGGGTGGGGTGATGAGGGGTAGTCGAGTAACGACATTGGGGTGTCTGGCTTAGGGGTGTGGGCTGCGGCTGGGGGGCTAGCCTCCGAAAATGAAACGAAGCACACAAGCACTCTCACACACCCGCACCCTCAATGCCACCCACACCGTCACCCTAATCTCTCCACCCTCCCACAACTTCCTCGCCCCCCCACCCTCTCACACCAAAGGGCGCACATTTGCTCTGCACGGTAATTCATCAAATGACGAAGACGCAGACGAAGGCACACCGGCAACAGAAGTGGAAAATGGGTGCGAGGATTGCGGGCTTACTTGGGGCGCCACAAAAGAAGTTGCTTCTTGGGTGTAACCCCCACCGAAACCACCGCCCCCCCAAGACACACACACGAGCAGACACACAAAGCGAGTCCAAGCGACTGACCAGCCCTCCGGTAAACTTTCTTTGCGAGTGTGTGAGGGGTGAACAAATCCTAATACTTGCGGACGGGGCACCGTGCCTTTCATATAAGGGTTGTGAAGAAAATACATAGTCGGTTCAAAGGGAAAGATTGAATCAATATGATAATACTTATAATTAAATTTTGGTCGTAATAAATCTAAAAACAATATTTTTAACAAACTATTGTGATATATAGCTTATAACAGAAGTATGAGCAAATTTGTTTGTATAAATCAAATAATAAAAAATTGCTATAATTCTTTATAGTATATAAAAAGTATTTTTAATAGATTCCTTATAATCTCTAAATTGTAAGCAATCAATAGTGGTATCCCATTTAGCTGCATATTGTGAATATTGTATGAAATCCGCTTTTATCTACTTACAATATTACTTACTTAAGAGAACCCACGTTTCGTCTAATCCCCAATAGTTCCCGCATTTCTTGCTTGTTTATTGGGCGATCTATTCCCCTTCCCTTAATGGGTTCCACCTCTTCATCCCATAAACGCAACGGAGCCCCAGGCCGGCGGTGAAAGCAACAAAACCATTGACTTTTGTATATAGTCAGCGACATTTGTATATAAATAGTTGAATCACCATGTATGTGCTTGTGTTTGTCAAAGGAAACCCCTCTCCATTGAAACCCACTCCAAATGCGAAACCATCAACCCTTTGTGGGTGGGTGGGTCAAGATTTGTGCCTAAGCGCACATAAGCCGCCGCAGGACAGCGTGTGTGTCCAAAGGAATACAGCGTCTTTGTGTTTAATTTGAGTCTCAAAATTTTCCGGGGGAAAAGTTAAAGACTTTGTGGAAAGTTCGAAGATTTCTCAAGCTCCCCCGCCAAAGGCACAACTTGTTATGCTTCTCAGCTGTAATCAAACATGATTTGGTGCAGCCAAATTGGGAGTCAGTCATCAACCCATCATCGAACTTTTTGAATCGAAGGGGTGAGTGTTTGAGACTGCGTTCTGGTCCTGATTCTAGTCCTGATCCTGATCCTGGTCCTGCTGCTAGCTGTGCGATGCCACCGTTACACATCTCAGCATTAGTGTCGCAGGCAGACAACGTGCCAAGCGAATCGAAGCAGACGCCAAGGTTCGAGGGAGATTCTCTAGGAAAACCAGTCAATGTCATCAACAACAGTCTGGGGAGCGGAGATGAATCCGAAGATGGAAGTGGGAGATGGAGACTGAGATGGCGATGGCGATGGAGAAGGACCTGCAAAAAGGAACAAAACGAAACAGGGACGGCAGAAGGAGCCACATCTTTTAAGACGTCTTTCGACTGTCTTGACTGGCTCTGGGTCTCCACCTCGGTTAGATGTTACGGAAAATTGCTTACGGTTTTTTGAACACACGCTCACACACTCCTCTACAGGGTAGCACACACATGAATGGAGAATGGATGGGATTGGGATAAGGGACTGGGGTGTGTGATACGCCATCATACAAACAGACAAGTTAGACAGCCCAAGACCCTCATCTGCTCAGCCATTACTCCAAAATAGAAATAGATGACAAGAACACCAAAGACGACAAGGCAAGGGACATTGGAAGGGGGGATGGGGGCTAGTGGAAGTGGGTGGAGTGCCAATGGGTGGGGAGTGGGACTCGATTGCGACAACGACTTTGGCTAAGGGCAACGACAAGCTCGACGGGCCAACGTTGGTTCCAGGGATAAAGCACTGAGAATGAAAACTAGTTAAAATAGTAAATCAATAATTAGCAATAAAATAGGAAATGAAAACACTCAACCCTAGAGCCAATGACTTTGTTCTAATATTTATACGGTATATCTGGAAGATCTTTTAAGCAATCAGATGGGACATCAAATACATTATTAAATAAATTATTAACTCAATAGGAATATATAAATCTTCGTCAAAATATAGCGAAACATCTACCAGAAGTAAAATTTTATTTAGATGCCTAAACAAAAATAATACCCTCTTTAAAAAAAATAAATTTGAGGCATTCAGATTCGATATGTATTGATATTTACTTAGCCAATATCCACGTTTCTCTCAGTGACTCCTTCACACCCACAAATGTATGAACCATCAGCTTTGGACCACCTTGAAACCCGCTCCTTTTCACAGTAAGCCCAAATAAAAAAAACCGAATTTGCCACCCACCTAAAGCAAAACAGACAAACCCAGCAACCTTAGCGCCCACTCTCGCACACAGAAGTAAAGACCTAGGACGAGTCGCACAAGCAATCTGCCAACTCAACTCCATCTTGGCCAAAAAAGAGGAGCAAAGACAGGGGGCGGAGAAGGAAATGAAGAAGGCAACGATGTATTTCAGCTTCAGCCACAATCAAAGTTGCTTCACAGGATGGCAGCAGGGGGAGGGTCTTCGGGTGGGGCTGATGCCAGACTTGGCTCATCCCCAGCTGCAGATAGAGATAGAGGAGCAGAAAGAGAAAGAGAAATGAGTGCCACATCCCGCACACACAAACACACTCCGAGTAGCGACGCCGCCTTCAATCCGCACACTGCCACACTCGCACACACTCACAATGGCACAAAAACAATGCCAAAAGTTTCTACACAAGCGCCTCGACCTCACCTTCATTCCTAGCTGCCTCTCAATGTTGCCAAGCCAAAGACTTTGCCTTGGCATGCATGAACCACCCCCCTCCCCCCACTCCATTCGAATTTTCCCTTATTTCTGCCCCAAATTCTATGCTACACTTTTCGTAGGCACAAAACCCCCAAACAATCCACCCCTGCGCTCATATGTGTGCTTGTGTGTGTGTTTGCGTCTTCGACTTTGGCTTAGTATTTTTGGTTAATTTTCTTGCAGTTTTAGGTTACGTTTTTGGCTTTTACCACCGATGCCAGCTCCTTTTATGCCCCACCCCCAACCCCTCCGGAGATCCACCCCTCAGGGTTTCACTTGTGAAAGACGTTTGCTTAAAAGCCACCACACACATCCACATGCTCTCCGCTTTCACCCCCACTCGTGTTTAGTTAGTTTGTGATGGTTTTTAGTGCGGGGGACTCGAGTCCCAGACCCGAGACATCTTAAAGGGGTGCCGGCACACACACACACACACACATCATGGAGCCGGAGTCATCCCATTCCCTCAGAGCCTTGCCCCTTTTTCCCGCCTGTCGCCGCCAGGCAGGATTCGAATGGAACCCACGTCATTTTGCTGCAGAGTCCTGCTCCGATCCCCTAAAAGCACCCCCCTCCCCCCGATTCCTGCGCCAGTTTACCCTTCATTATTTTCCATTTTGCTGCTGCTGCTGCTGCTGCTTCCACTGATGCTGTGGCTGCTGATGAGCTAAGCCAGCATCTACAAATTTTTCTGCT